CAAAAAAAAAGGCTCAAGACTAGGGTCTCCAATATTCTAGAAAGGCATGAAATCTTCCAAGACCAGCAAAAACTAGCTAAACCAAATTCTTAGCCAGAAATGAAATTCAGGTCACAAATAAATTCTCTATGCTGAATTCCCTTCTCCTCAATATGCATCTTTGCATGCACCACATGTGCGCTTATTCTTCTAAAGCTATCACAAATAATTTCATTTCAAGCCAACAAATGGCTTGAACAACTGATGTGGCCTAAGTGACTGATTCTCATCCACAGCATGAGAAAAGAAGATATGACTTACCCAAGAAGTCCAGTGACAGGCTGAGCTGTAAAAAATGCCTACCTGGGCAGCACAACATGGGAATCTTATGTTCCGAAACTCCATGCTGGCTCCAGGAGAGAGACAAACATTTATAGCTGTTTTGTGGGACTCCAAACAGATCACAAAGTCAGGTAGGATGGCTATATACTGTTCGCTAACTTTAGGGAGCTCCAAAGCTCCCTGCTAAGCATAGCTGCAGCCACTGCTTGACCTAATAAAACGCTGTAGCTCAACTCTAATGTCACAGGTATATAGTCGTCTTTTTTTTCCCCCCCACTTTCTTTTCTGCTGGCACAAAGTTATGCCTGTGTCGTAAAGAAGTAGTGTGATAGTTTCTCAGTCAACTAAATACACTTACATGTACGTTTAACCAGAGCAGAGGGGGCACTGCTTACTCCTGCAGGCAACACCTCTTCCATTAAAAAAACCACTCCCATTAAAATTCACATATGTTAAGTGGGAACCAACTTCCTAAAGAAAAACTGCAGTAACGAACACTCCCAACTTCAAAGGAGAGTGGGGGAAATCCTCATACAAACCTGGAAAATAATTTAAGAATATCTGGGGCATTTTGGTTCCAATGATTTTTTGAAATATATCAATACCAGCACGGCTACCTATGAGAGTACATCAGGATTCTACCAGCTTTTTTAATTTTCACTTTTTTTTTTCTATTCTACCCCAGTAAAGTGTGCACATTAAGGAATTACATACATTTGAACTTCAGAAACCAGAAGCAACTTCAAAGTTCTAGAGATGCCATCTCCTCCTACAAAACTACCTTTGTGGCACCCTGATAGTTATGGACAGTCTGAGTACATCTAATATGGACTTTTCAGAGAGAACTACTTAAATAAAAAGGCAGGAAAAAGCTAGCTGCTTGTAAGGAAGAGGTTTTCCTCTTTCAGAAGTTTGATAATTACTGACCTAATATAAGAAATGTCCTACTTTCAGAAAATAAGAGGAGAGAGAAAAGTAACCAAGGAAGTAGCGCAAAGAGTCTTTGAAGTTTGATCTAAGAACAAAAAAATACTTACGAAGCGCCTGTTGGTGAACTAAAGGCAGAATCCTATTGCGTAAAGCACTCCACAAACACACAGTATCTCTTCTCAAAGAGTTCACAGTCTATAAAGACCAAACAGAACACGGGATGGACAACAGAAGGAGAGAGAGCAACCCCACTACTTACGTGACTTTATTTCAAGTCACATGTAGGTTTGGTCTCAAACACCCATACTTCAATCCCATGGGTAAGGTCTACTCTGTCAATGCGATTTTTTCCCCAGGATTTCACTCTGACTGAAATGCTGACATTTGCTTAAATTTATACATGCCATTAATTAACTTGGATTGAATAGCATATTTTAACAGAAAAATAGTTGCCTGGTTGGCTAGCTAGAACTCTCACAAGAGTACAAAAATGAAGTAACAACAACTTCAGCTTTTCAAACATTAACAATGTATGTTTAAAGAAAGACTATGGATCCAAGATAGCCGGAGGAAACGCAAAGCATTAAAATCTAACAGGGTGAATTTATTCCTAGTGCTCAGTACATGCAATTTTCTTTAATGTAATGGACAGATACTTCACACCAGGTGTGAATTTAACCACCTGGTTATAATTTGTGAAAATGCTTTCATCCTACAACAAGGAAAACATCTCTATCAAGACAGTTTTTGCAGCTGTATGAGTTTTTAATTTAGCTTGATTGCTGTTTGTGTTGTTTTCTGTAACGACAGCTTAATAAGCTTAAATGCTGTTTCCAGTTTTCCCCTCAAAGTAGTATTTCTGTCACTGATGAGAAAGGTTTTGCTGGTCAGGAGCTCTCAGTCGTATTTACTGAGAATCAATAATTGCACTAAGTTATATACTTGCCATTTACAGAGTTGCTAATGACTTTGTCTGTCTCATGCTGGAACTCTAGCAATCCTTAAGGAAGTCGCGTCCAGTGGGTTTTCAACTCTGCCCAGCGTACACTGCATCTTTCCGTATAACTTCATTTGTTGGAAGAGCCCATAATAGTGTGCTTTATTAATCAATCCATTAAACCATTAATGAGAATCAGTACTCTGTTCTCTGCAAAGGCACCTAGCAAAACTATTGGCCTTGGAGATTGATTTAACTGTAACAAAGCAATCATATCTGCAGCAAGAGTCAATGAATTCATCATTCTCCGAAAGCCAACTTTGGCAAAGAACAAAGGGCTCTTTCCCTGGATCAGCAGAGCTTACTCTCCACATCTTTCCATTCAAATAGGGAAGTTACCCAGGAGGGAAGACATCGAGGATCATCCATCTCTTCTATATGACGTTTTTAAAGAGAGAGTTCAGCTTTACCCAAATTTTTAATATTTGGCTATAAACCCTTAGCTAAGCCTTAAGTACCTTTCTACTGTGGTGAATGACAAAAGATAATATAGTCTTCCTGCAAACGTCCTTCTCCTTCACACTTTGCCTCCATCATTTTGTATCTGATGGTTGCTAATCACTGTGATTTATACAATCGCTGAATCAGTAACACCATTCAGTCTTGTTAGGCTCTAACAAAAGTACTCTATAATTATCTGCATTAAAACACTGTGATAAGATCTATGAGGATCTGGCAGATCCTTCCATGAAGGGAGATTGAGATGAGCACATGCAGAGGAAAAATCAATACGTAACTAATCAAAAGGACTGATTTTGAGAGTATAAGTTGGGAGACAAAAGAAGGAAAGGCATGTGAATACCTGGCCTATTTACAAATCCGATTTAGGAGGGATTCAATTGGGGAAAATTCCTAACTGGCAGTGTGCATTATAGTTAACACTCTATTTTCTTTTGCATTGTTGAAGCAGTGAAATCACATTCTGACACAGGCAGCCATTGTACACATAATATTGGCTCAGGCATGTGCTAGTCCAGTTCTTATTGACTTAAGTCTTTGCCTGGCATCTCTGCCCAAGAAAGGGCAAGATCAGGTATTCCAGCACAACGAACTTCAACCTAAAAACTTGTAGCCACAGTATGAAACAGTATCAGAATGCAGATGTATCTTACACATAGGCCAATTCAGCAAATGCTTTTCAGATGCGTATAGGTGCTCTAAAGCCTCTTCTAGCAGCCACATGTGAATAGAAACAAAGGAAAGAAAGAGAATAGATGAGAACTCTCTAAAACAGAAAACTTTTGCACAGAGAAGAGAAGACTACAATTCAGGGGATTTTCGTTTCATTTAGTTCTGCACAGGTGTGCCACGCAGCCCCAGGTCTCACGTTCTCTTTGCTTCAGCTATTCAACTGCCTAATGCAAACAATAATTCTTCTTTTACCAGTCTTGTCCCTTAAAATTAGTCTCTTGCAACTTATTCTTTAGTGTCCAACACAAGAGGCACTACCAAAAGAACCAGTAAACCCACCTTCATGTAATGACTCCTAAAGTAAGTATACTAAAATTTTGCCAGAACTGGAAGAAATACAGAAATATCTGCAAGAAGTGTAGGATAATTTTCCAAAAGACTTACCAAGAACAGGTTAACTCATACCTGATGCAATACTAAATTAACTTTTCTTGTCACTTTGTAACAGAGAAAAAGGCACATTTACAACACATCTCACATCTCTTATGAAATCCCATTGAATCGCTAACTCCAAATTAAGTTACCAAGCAACATAAGGCAACACTTGATATCGCTGTTAAGAACAGATGTAAAATAGAACTTTTTTCTTCTCTAATTACCCTCTAACAATTGTAAATACACTGTCTGGATCAGTATCAACCTGTCACTTAAATACTAGCAAAATAAAAAATTCTGATGGTAGTGAATGAATAAATCTAATTCCATCATTACTTCTGTACATGTATGCTAAAATAGTTCTGTTTATAATTATCTGCAGGATATCTGTAGCAAAATCATAAAGAAAAGCATTCTAAAAAGATTCTTAGTATGGGCAAATACACTGAATTCTTAAAAAAAAAAAAAAAAAAAAAAAAAAAAGAGCTAGATTCATTAGCAAGTACCATTATACATGGGCTCCGTACCACAGGTGAGTAGAAGTCCCTCTCCCAAAAATCAATGAGGTAATTTTCATTTTCACATGATAATGTAATAGAGGAGCCAAAGGGACAACTAAAGGCAGACTGCTTCTGCTCTCGGTGTACGTCCTAGATTCTTACTGGTACACTAGTGCCCATTTCCCACTCATTTCAGTGGCAAGTAATTACCTAACTGGTTAATTAATGCTGCCCAAAATACTCCAGGAAGTATGGGTCCCTTTGACAATTCCAGATAAGGATTTGCTGCCTTCAAAGAGAACTTTACAGTGTAGGAGTACCAGAGAATGACTCTAAGTAGCAAAATAACTGACAATGACCAGAAAGCCTCTTGCATATGTTGACTACAGGAAATGTGTAAACACTGGGGCTGGTCCTGTAATCTGTCCCATGGCTGTTGAGTCCTGTACAATCCCACTGAAGTCAATTAATCTATTATATTGCCTGGTTTGCCAGAGAAAATTCTTCCTGGAATAGAAACCTGATTATCACAATTCATTTTTCAGTACTAAAATATCATCATACATCTTTTAGTTACAGGACACTGTAAATGGTATTTCTATTGAATATTTTAATTGCTTTAGATTGCTTTAGTTATCAGATTTTCTTGTTAACTTTAAATTAATATAAGGCAAGCTAAACATTACCTTGATTTTCTTCCAGCTTCCCGATTGTTTCTATCTGCTCAACAAGGTCATTTGAGTTCCACTGGCTCATGCCTATGAGAATGGCACTTTTTCCTTCCGCCACCTCTTCTGCAGGAGGAAAAAGGAGAATGGAATAAACAGTGACAAACAAGAAAACAAAGACAGAATTAGTGCTAGTAAATGTCAGAGAAATAAGCAGGTTGTTATGATCCCTAATGGGAATATAGAACAGGTTAGCATATACAGAACTCTCCAGGAAATCTTCTTACTTCACAATTCACCCTGCAGTGTATGCACATGCTGTGTACACTGTGTGCAGAAAAAAAAGGGGAAAAAAAGGACTGCACACATTTTTGCTCTTACCTTGAACATGGCACTTAAAAACAAATTTAAGAGTAAATCACTCTACTGAACGTTCATTATCAAGGAGCAGAACTAGTCAGAAATTCTCCCTCTTCCTGCAAAAAAAATTTTCAGAAAAAACATGGGTTTTTTCCACTTGTTTTGTTAATCAAGATTTTAAAAAAACCTTTAAATAACAACGGACACACCTTTGTTTTTCTAGCAGCTGACAAAAATTTCACACAACCTAGCAGTTTTACCCAACCCCTCGTTCTCATTCTTCAGTTTCTAAAATCTACAAGTGCTTTCAGTGTTAAAGTGCTAACCTGTATTTTTTTTTCTTGAAATGGATAATTTACCTGAAAATTCCTGTGACAAGAGCCATATTCTTCCAAGTCATGCAAGTGTTTTTATGTTTAATCTTTACAACAGCCCTAAGAAGCAATTTAATAGGCTGTAAGCTCAGGAGAGTAGAGATAGTCTCCTTCTTCCCAGCCTGGGTAGGGCAGAAATGCTTCAGGGGATATACACTGAAAATGACACAGCTTGCTAGTGTTAGTATTACTGTAAACTTTTTGAAAAGGTAATGGTCTTTTTTGTTCCAAACTCCCACTTAACACAGGAACACAAACACTACACTTCCACTTGCACAATTCAGTCACCTCTAAAAAACAAAAACAGAAAAAACCCAACACCCTGTAATTCAGTAGCAGTGCAAATTTTACCAGTATGCATGTAAATACTGATTTCCTGTTTGTCATGTGTGTGAAAATGCTGTAATAATATCATTAAAGCAGTAATTCCATCTCACACTGATATAATTATATTAGTATAATATTTCCTGATGATATACTTACATTGATTCAAGAAACAAAGTAAGCTATACTAATATGCAGAGTAATCAAAATAGCCCACAACAGTCAATAAACTACAGGAGCGAGAGAACTAGCACTTTCCAAGACATAAGGGAAATCTCAGTCCATATACCAGGACTTTTATCAGTTATATACTAGCACTTCAACATTTCATATCAGCCTGAAAGTACAGCTATAAAGGTGTCTTATAACTGCAAACATTTTAAAGCTTATTATGTATCACAATTTTAGCCTGTAACCAAATTAACGCTTTCCTACTTTAGATTGGCCTGAAGTAAAATTATTTTTGTAAAAGTCAAATGTTAAACCATAAATATTAGCTAGTAGATTTCAATATCCTAAAACCCTGATTTCAACACATTTAAAAAGGGGGGAGGAATGGACTCACAGACCAGCTTATAGACATTTCAAGCATGTTTTTTCCTTTCATCAAAAGTCCTCCGTGCTCCATAAGGCTTTAAACTTTCATCTAGAGACACAGAGACATCATGGAAAGGCACCATCCCCATAGTGCAGATATTCAGGTCTGTAAATAGGCTTGTTCTTTTATTGGGATCTTATCCAAGAGAAGGGGGAGCTGGAAGCACCAACAAAATGATACATTGCAGATGTTCCCTTTTTTTAAGCAGGCATAGAAAGCTGTATGAAAACATTTTCCTTCAATTTACCAGCTGCTTGGGAAGAAGGGTAGACTAGGTCTTTCTGAATGAACTTATTAAAAGTTATGTACAGCCAGAACGGTCTCTGTATCTAGGGTGAGTACACAAGAAAGTAATGCAAAATAAACAAAGAGGGTTCTTTACTTGCTGAGGTACTGATTCAGAGAATGGACCAAATTCTGCCCTCTCTTACTGCCTGCTGTTGAGACAAGGGCTTTATTACAGGAGTAAACAGAGCACAATTTGGCCAGAACATTTCATACTGAAATAATCAAAATAGATTTTTCAAATGTGTGCCTGTGTGTATATACATTTCCATAAAGCTATCTATACACATATATACGTATATATAAGTGTAATTCTTGAACACAACGACCAGGCCTTGCATTGGCCCTCTAAGGGTATAAAGCATTTAAAGAGATCTCAGTACCGGGAGAGGATGAAAATGGAGATCTATATTAGGGTTTTCAAGTCGCTGCACAGTTGTTTCCATACCTGATCTCCCCCCTAAGCCTTACATTTTGTTGAAACAGTAATGAAGGCCATTTGTCATAATATCAAAGAAGCTGGGAACAATCTAGTAAGTGTAATGCCATTTGTCATATTTATCAAAGAAGCTGGGAACAATCTAGTAAAGTCCATACTGGACTTCCTACAACATCAGCTACTCCCTGAGGTTAAAATAAACACTACCACCACACACAACCATCAAAAATAGTCTTCGGCTCATTTTTTTGGTCATTTTCTCTCACGCAGGTTGATTTATTGAAATCTGCTAGGAGAGAGGGCAGGAGCCAACGAATGGCTCTGGAGAGCCTGGTGGCACTGCCCCCAAGGCTGACCAAAGTGGCCCACAGACATACCCCACCTCCTGCAACCAACTCCACAAAGCCTTCACCTGAAATGCAGGGGCAGCTCATCCACTGTGGGATGAGCCCCTTCCTGCACAGATTACTGCTATTTAAGTAAAAGGAGAGATGGCAAGACCAGGCCTTTGAGCTCCTGGATATCTAAGCAAAGAAGGCAGCTCTTGCAGCCTGTCTGCATGTGGTGGCTCAGGAGAGACCTACCTCCTCCTGCAGGAAGAGTCTGATTAGCCTTTTAAAAGCATGTTAGATAGCTAGTTTTGGGACTGAGGATCTGTTCCAAATATTGGCTTTAGCCCTTGAAAAATGTATCAAGGGGATGTTAAGGAGCTGTCTGTTGCAGAGAAATACGGCTGTAAAGCTGTCTGAGCATTTAGATCTAATATTTCTGTATCATTTTTGCTGTTATGTAATTTACTAAGCCAGGCATTCCAGATGGCCTTACTGTTTAGCAGAAAGATGAAATAAGACACAGAGGTCACAGACTCTGGTTCCTATTTTTATAGCCTTTTTAAGTTGGCAGAAAATACTGAATACAGTCTAGAATACATCAGAATTTAATACTAAGGGACTAGTTCACAATGCATTCCAGACCTTGAACCAGAAATGGGTTATGATCCTCACCTATTTTGTTCCCCCTTCTTGGAACTCATTAACTAGCCAGACATGAAATCCATACACAAATTCACATACATGCTTTCCAGGCTAGAGTCCTGCAGCATCTCTTTCCCCAGACTGAACAATAGCAAGAACACTCTTCACAACAACCTTGTGAAATTCACATAGCGCAACTCCAAGACACTACAGAATATCCACATCCATACGCTTGTGTTCATGTGGAGAGCTATGCTGTTCATCAGGATCAACTGCTCCATGAACTTGAACCACCTCTGAAAAAACAAACCACCCGGTCTTACCACATCATCTGCTGGCACACTGAACCATGCAATTACTAAGTACTTTGAGCCTGCAGCTCTCCATCTTCAAGTTCCCAGTTGTTTTGAAGCAGACTAACAAGGCTAAATGTGTAGGCCACTCTGGTAATGTCTACCCAGATACACTGCTTGTCTGCAACCCAAAGAACAGCCAGGCAATAAAGCCTAAATCATGTGGCAAAACACCTAAGTCAGCAAGGTCAATTTCCTAAACAGAGTAAAGCAAGGTATAATAGTCAGATGAGCTGTCCTCATCAACTTTAACTGAGGATCTGGACTTGTGAGTTTTTAAAGCACTCTTATGACTTGTGGACCACTGCACAAAAGGATATATACATGCATGCATCTCTGCCTGCTATCGTTGCACATAACATTTCAAAGCAAAATCACTTCAATGGGCAGAGGAAGAAGGGAAGGTGGGGAAACAATTTACTCTGCATTTTGTTACTACTTGCAACCTCAAGTAAACCTCATCAACAGAGAAAAGAAAATATTACGGATAAACTAGTATTCTCTCTCCTTACCAGACTGCATTATTATCTGGAGAGGATAAAAATAATTTTGTATAGGAAAAAAAAAAAAAAAACACAAATTTCTGCTTCACTTTTTTTTTTTTTTTTTAAGTGCAAAATAGATTATCACAGCTCCACTGTCAGTTCCCTAGAAGAAGCACAAGGATTGAACACTGCAAGCCAGCGTCTGCATTGCTGGACGTAGGTCAGAATTTGTCATAACGCTAGGCAAGGGGGACTCCAAGGTGTTCTGATTCCACGATCAGTCTTGATCTCCATAAACTATGAGCTACGTTTTCAAACTCAATTTCACTTCACAGTGCAGAAGCTCCCTTGCTATTTGTCTGCTTCGGCAAGTAAAATCATCAGACGCCGTTTATCCTTACAAAAAGCTGTTTTATCCTTAAGTTATTTATGAGAAGACAAAAGGATACAAAATATTTCTTATTCTGTTAGAAGCACTTAATTTATCCTTCTTGCTTTTATTGTTCTTGTCCCAGTTTCCCACTTGCCTTGAGCTTTCATTCATTCACTTGTGATCAGTTTGTCTTCACAGGCTTCAGCAGGGATACAGCAGCAAGGAGTTGGGCATTGCATCAATGTTACGTGTAACTGAAAAGCTGACCAGCTATGAGGACTGAATTCAGCACTTCTGTGCCTATGAGGAGTTTGTTGAATCTTCAGGAGGGGACAATTTGGGGCAGGGAGAGAAAAACATGTCATGAAATCATAAAATGATGCTCAATATGCAGAACAAAGCACTTATTAAAAGATCTAAGAGGAACTCACTGCAAAGAGAGACAAGTAACACCAAAAGGTAGCCACCACTCTGTGACCCGCTCCAGTAAACCGCAATGTCACAATGTACATTAAAAGAAACAACCATATCAACCTCAGTGGTTAGAATATCAGAGCCACA